TTGCCCTACTCCCTGTAATCCTGCAAGCCAGCTTCTGGTGGAGTTAGCTTCGAGCATTCATTAGCATAGCCTGGGCCTTTGACATACTGCACTGGTGATTTATGCTTGTGAATATTCATTGTGCTAAATCCAGTGGCTTTTCTGCTCACTGTTGTTTTTAGAGAGTACCATGCAAGATACAAAATCTCCTTGCAACCTATAACCAGCTGCCTGGGGTAGAAGTTGGATGCATTTGAATCCCTTTGTATGCACGACAGCAAAGTACCTGCAGTGCAAATGCAGGAAAGACTGGATAAAAGAAGAGGCAGTAGGATAGTCACCCAAATTCACTGTGTGTGTTTGTTAATACTGGTCAGCTTCCACCCATCCTGAGAGCTGTCATGAGAGGGCAGGTAGGGAAATTGCAGCTCAATCCTGAAAAACACAACGGAATCACAAAAGGGAAAAAGATAGTCCATGAAAGAACAGGCAGGGGTTAATAGAAAATGCTTCCAGAACTGGAGGCAAAGATATGTGAATGAACAAGTAGGAAAGGAGATGCCACAAGATTAATTTTACTCTGTGTGTACAGTGATCAGAGTCTGAAACTCTGAAATTCTGTTTCTGTTTCTGACATAACTTGGCTCTGTGAGCCTGAGAAAGCCCGGTTCCCTAAGGGTGCTCTGAGAAACCCTGTTAGTTCTGCCATTTGCACTATGCTGTTGGTAGGATAGTAGGAGGGAAGAAATTTACATTATTTGGGGAAGGAAATTATAAAGTGACCTCCATCTGCAAAAAGTTATATCAAAATCTATATAGTATTTGATACCCATATTTTTTCTCTAAGACATCCTGCAGCATGCTGAAGTATCTTAGTTTCAGCTGATTAACTTGTTCATAGTATCTGTGAACATTTATTGAGCATCTTATCTGCAAAGTATCTTCATATCTACTGGGAAAGATTTACATTATTAACTGAATGTATGACAGCTGAACAAATGCAAGTGTTTAATGAATACCAAGGTGAGGTGGGGATACGGATATTTCTCTGTGGAAATCACTGAGTGATCTATCTTGGGAGGAGAGACAAGTGCTCATCACCTTGCCTCTGATTAGCAATCACTTTTTAAAAAAATACATATTTATTATTTATTTCAATAGGGTTGATCTGTTAGCTTTCTTTTTGTACAAAAAGTTTTGTAAGAAAGCAAGCTCTGCTTTCTATGCTAAAGCTGGAAACTTCAAATGGAGATGTAACACTTCTCATGTTAACTTACTGCTATTTTATTGATAGGAAATATCAAGTGCTTATTAAACTCATCAAATACAGATATTGCTTGCTTCCATCACTGTTGGAGTGAAAAGGTAATTTTTTCAGGCCTTTTAGAAGCAAATACTGTGCAGATTGCCAAGGTACTGCCAGAAAACTCAGGTATTCAAAGTGAAGCATGAGGTAGCTGAAGCAAATCTCTTCAGGATGAAGGAGGGAGACAGAAGCAATTTGGTCACAGAAGTAACAGCGTGGTATCTTCTGTGCCACTTGTGTAAAAAAAAATCTATCTGCTTATGGAGTGCCATCTTCATTCCATTGAAGTCAAGAGCTTTGTCTTTGAACAATTTGGGCCATGATTTTACAATTTCTCTGGTTGGTTTTTAGGTATTTTTTCATTCTTAGTGAATGCAAATTGGCACAGGTAAACTTACATTCTTTAGCAATCTTAGCTGCTTAGTTGGGAGGTTCTCATTTTGGTTTCTAGTTTTACATGTGTACCATCCTCTATGCTAGCTAGTGCCTGTGAGTGCTGTCAAAAATATGTCATTAATCAATTTTGAGAGCTCTTTCTTTTTTGATGCATTTTGATTAAAAAATGCTTAACCTTAAAATTTAGGTCCTGAATGCTCCAATACACTACTCAATGACTTCTTTGCTTTCCTGTAGCCAAATCTTGATGGAAAAAATGGCAGTAGTCTGTGCATTTATACTTGTCATTTTTCCTTAAAAGAAGGAGCCATAAAAAGGCAGCATTTAGAGCTTTTCAGATGACACCAGTCACAGAGAAAATAGATTTATTTTAAAATCTAACAAAATGAACTATGTTTTTTGTTTTAGTGATAGAGATTGGGACCCCTGATTTTTTTTTTTCAGTCAGCCCCTGGATATGGACAAGTGGCTAGCATGATCTAAAAGAGGGTGTTGTGGAAAGGCCATCATGGGAAATATAGGTATATCTTAGTGAAGAGTCTACTACAAATTATTTGGAGGGATTGGGATATATGGGAGATAGTCATGATTACTTTGGGATCAGGAGTCAGATGAAGGAATTGAGGTGGAGAAACTGAGTCTGTATGTAGTGGGAAGCATTGTACTGTCAGCCACTGTAACCAAAATTACTATATTTCAAAATAATAACCCATGTGGGAAAAACATTTTAATTTGACAATTCTTTGTGCTTAGCAGCGGTGCTCTTCTGAAACTCTAATGATATTACTGGCGATATTATTAGAAAAAAACCCCAATAAAATAGCAACAGAACTCTTGAAAATTGTTCTTTGTGATGTTTAAGATATTAATAAAAAAATAACATTTTCTTCACTATGTAGCAATGATTGTTTTAAAGTGAACTAAATAAATTATTTGTTTTTGCCACCTTTTCCCTACCATATTGTTGGTGGGCTTGGCAGCTCGTTTGCTGGATACTTGAAAAAACATGTTTGTTGTATGTTTTGAAAATATTTTTCTCTTTAGACTAGAATTCTAATGATGACTACAGTTAAAAAATGTACAGGATTTGAAGGCTAAGTTTTTGTTTTGTTTTTCTTCTCCATTTTTAGAGTTTCCTCTTTTAAGAAAAATTTCCAACTGACTAATTAAGAAACCATCAACAACAAAAAACCACTAACAAGCAAACAAAACAAAAATCCCAAAGTACGGTTTCCTTGGGGAAGTTCAGTCTAAACAAGTATACAGTAATAAATATTAGCAGAAATTATTTATTAGACAATCTTTAGTAAGGAAAGCTTCTTAACTCTTAAACAGTCAGTGGGATTAAAACGTTCTTAATTTGAAGCCCTTCACAATGGCTTTTGTCATTTGCATTTCACTTGCTCAGAGAACTTCAGGTTTGCATCCTTTTTTAGGTGCAGTGGATATCATAGCTATTTGAGAAAAATTAAGGCATTCCTAAAGCAAGAGAATGCGTTGGAATGGTGTTTTAAGAATGAAGTGCTTGCTTACTGCTTTCAGAGTCTTTGAAATCTTTTATTTCTGGCTCATTTCCAATATGGAAGGAGTTTGTTTTCAGAGAAGTATTGTTGCCAAGGGACAGATGTTGACTGTGTTGTGTTTTAAAGCAGACTGATATTAATTACATTCTTTTAACTATTCTACTTCTCTGGATAACTTTAAAAGGTCCTTTCAATTTCCAGAATACTTAGGTAAGCTCTCAGAACATGAGCACAGTGTCTCGGCATTTACGTGAAAAATGTATTAGAGCACTGGCAAGAGCTGAACTTATTTTTGTACAGTCGAGAAACACTGTTTTCAGATGATTACACTAATTAGTAACATAGAACAGCTTTAGCAAATTTAGTGAATGCTGTGATTTCCTTCCCTTTTGTCTTTCAAGTCTCTATCTGAGCCAGTTGTCAAACAACCTGGGTGGAGCACTACTTACTACATTTGACCAGAGAAATGGGCTAATTTTTTTCAGGACCTATTCTGTGATTTGAGACAGCATGATCTGGAGCAACATCAGCCCTTGGGGTTTTCCAGTCTCCCATTGATAAGGCAAAGTTAATGTTTTGCATCTGGTGTTTTGGTTCTTTCAAGGATCAGTCTGAGTTACTTGGCTCTTCTACAGTTTTATGCCAGCTCACTTGAGCTGACAGGACTATCACTGCTCACTCCACCAGAACTTGCAGACAGTGTTGGTGTGGTTGTTTTGGGTTTTTTTCAACTAGTTCCTGAAGACTGAGCCCAGCTCATGTTTCTTAGTCCTCTGCCTATTTCAGTGGTTTAGATCATTTTGTTCTGTACTTGGTAAAATGCTACTTTCCAAGTATTTTTGCTTAATACTCAGTACTTTAAGAAACACTGGGTCAAGAGAACATAATGCATGTAACAGCTGTGTAGAGCTCACCTTAGGGAGCCAACCCAGCAGTGTTAACCTGCTTCTGCAGGAGCCCTAGAGGAGAGTAATATAAACTCAGCCAAAGCAGGTGAATTTTCCCTCCCAGCCCTCTTCTCAGCCCTCCATGTCTCTGCAGAATTGTTTTTGCTGCTTTCTCATCCTCTACTCCCATCCCTCCCTCAGTGGGATGAGTTCAGTGTGTCCTGTGAGTTCCTGGGAGAAGAGCTGCAGCGAGGTTCTCTGGGGCTGAACTCCAGCCCTGCTGGCTCCCAGCCCTGACTGCTGACCAGTGATCCATCCTCCTTGGAGCTACCTGGAGACAGCCCAGCAGCTTATGCTCAACTTTTGAAACCTTCCTGGGAAGCTGTAGTCCTGCTGGACATGGATGAAGGCCTGCTTTAGTGTTCAAAGTTGTGTTTTAACCAAAGGTTACAGACTTGTTGCCAGCTACAAGCTGTCAATAAAGGCATGTGTTTCTTCCTTCCATTCAGACTATGGAAGCTGACCTTCCTGTTTGCTTGAATCCCTATATAAAAGCTCTCTTTCTTTCAGCTGCCAGTTATGATCCCTGTCACTCATTAGCCTCTCTCTGCTTTCCTCAAAACTTCCCTTAGATAAAAGCATTAGCTTAATTCTCCAGAGCTAGTTATTTGAAAAAACTAAATGTTACTCATCTCAGTTGTTCCTCAGGAGACAATCCTTATATTCAGGAGTTCATGTTGACTGACAAAAGATTAATGTGCATTTGTGAAGTTTTGTGAAGTTGTCCAAGTTATGTTAATAAATTTGCATTCCATTTGTGCATTACTGGGTAACATAAAACTGCCTACATAAAGCTATACTGTCTCATTAGCATTCTGTTCAAATAGCTTTCTACCTTTATTTGTTCAGGCAATTTCGACAGAAATATCTGAGTACTCATCTGATAATGACAGCGTGGGAGGAGGAGAGGCGACCCTGGTGACCACTACTCCAGGATCCAGCAAGGGGTTACAGCCATGGTCAGCAGGGGACACAGGGGATGTCACAGCGCGACCGGCCAGCGAGTGGCTGAGGTCAGCACAAGCCCTTCTCCGCACCCCCGGGAAGCAGGCGGGAAAGGCCCCCAGAGCCCCCGCTGAGTCTGCCAAGAAGAGGAAGCTACTGAGGTAAATGAACTGCCCACCTTAAGGAATTCTTTTTTATTTGTTTTTTCTTAAATTATAAGTAAGACGATACTTGCCGAAGTGTTGGACCGTGTGTAACATGAGTAAACATTTTAGAGCTGCAAATATGAAAAACTTAAAGAATGTCATTTATCTGTAAACAAGCGAAAAAGGCAAGGAAGAACTAAATTTAAAATCTCAAGTGAAAGCTCTCAATCTTGAGCTCCTGTTCATATCGATTGGTTTTTACACTTCTAATAATGCCTTACCGATGTGTGAGTAGACATATTTCTGCTCTACCTTCTAATCATTTCATTGCTTTGTGATTCTCAAGAAGGTCTGCAAAAATGCTCAGGATTTAGGATTATTTTTGGTGGTTTTTTATTTTTTTGGTCCTTTCCAGGTTTTTCAGGGCAAAATTATCCAAAATATTGTAGGAAAGGAGTGGATGAGCAATAGTTCTGAAGAGTGTAACAGAGCATTATAGAGGCAATGGAAGGACATATTCTTAAGGTGAAATTTAAATGTCTATGACTAAGTTTTAAATATACGAGAAAAATATGTAACTACTGAAAGAAAGTAGCCTGAGATGGAGCAGTTGAAGCCTGATGTTCTAGCTAATTACAGTGCAGAAATGGTCACTTCCTATATTGAATTAAAGAAAGTTATGTTAATTTAAATGGTATGTGTGAAGATATGCCTCAAGCTGTGGAGACCACAATTACAAATGGTGCTGCTATACATCCCTATTATTGTTTTAACAGTGTGCTTCTCTTACTTTTACAGGTGAATCTATGTACAATAATCAATCAATTACTTAAAAAGTAAATCTTTAGTTAATAGGTATACCTTATTTTTCTCTAAAATAGTCTTGGCTATTTCAAAATGCTGTCTGAGGAAACAGGTTTGGAAGTCCTAATTACTGAGGATCTCTGTACTTAAAAGTGCTTTGCTTTTGCAATCAAGCTTTATTTCTTGTTGCTTTAGAAAACATGCATACACAGCTGTACTAGGTCAGACCAAAGCTGTAACCCCCAAAAATGCCTTTTAGTGGCCAAAAGCAAGTATGTGTGAATGTAATAAAAACAGGACAAGTGTACAGTGGTATTTTGCCCAGGTGCTCTTCCAGCTTAAAGCAGTTCCTGAGCTGTTTGTTGTCATTAGTGGATTTGTCTTTTTCTAAATTCCAGCTTCATTTGATGACCTTTACTATCAACAGTCTAGATGCAAAAAATGCTTTACAGCAAAGATACTTTGACACAAGTGTTTAGGAGAATAGATTGCTTTAAAAACAAACAAAACAAGACCAAACCATCCACATTTATATAGAATGTGATCTGTCTGGAGTGGCCAGAGGAGCAGAGCTTACAGGGTTTTTTACCTTCCATCCTGTGGCTCTACTTTGGGTTCCTTTGGGAACAGGGAAGAGGCAGGAAATTCCTTAGTTATGAGTGTTGTTTATCTAGTTACTTTGCTCATCCAGGTAATTGTCATCTTTTCACTCTTCCTGTTCAGGGCATTAATTCCATGTGTCTCTCCCATCCTTCCTTTTACTGCTGACAGAGAACATTTTCATTGGTGTGATAACAGTGGGTATAAGTTTGCATCCTCAGTAGGAAAGCGCAGGTTTTTAGTGCTGTGGATTGAAGGCCAGTTCAGGGAGAGGTTTGTCAGCTTCCTGATTGATCAAGTGACAATCCCTTCTTTGTGGTTAAATAGCTAAAAGCTACAAAGCAATTGTGGGCTTGTCATTTCTCCTTCCTTCCTACCTCTGCTGCAGATCGAGGCCACAGCAGAAAAAGCAGTGAGCAGGGGAATCATCCAGAGGCTGGATCTGGCCCGTGAGCTCCCACTCAGATGGACCATTTGGAACTGCTCAGCAGGTGGAAGAGAGCCATGAGTCTCTGCTTGGCCCTGCTTAGCTCTCTTTCTCCAGGCCAGTGCCTCATGGGCTGTGCAGAGGTGGTGGAGGTGGTAGACCTGCCATCTTCCTATGTGAATTCCTGTGCAGTAGGTTCAACTTCAAATCCAGACTGTACTGTGTATGCATATTTCATGGAGGAGTCCTGATGTAGGTAGAGTAGGTCTCCTCCCATTTTGTTCCCCCTTTAAAGAAAATAGAAAATATTTCTTTTTTTATATCTCTTTGGTGTTTGACATGTGTAAATCTATCTTGAAAAGTAGAGATAATATTTTCAAGAATTTTTAGCTTATATTTTCTGTAGAAATCTTACAGTCATGCTGCAGTCTGCATTTATATTTGCATTGTGTGATTGCAGCTATGCTCCTGTAATGTCAATGGGTACATTTTTCTGTCCAACTTCAAAGAAACCCCCCTAAAATATCCCCATTAAACCCCCAAATCCTCAAGCAAAACCAAACCAAGAAAAGAGCCATAACAGTGTCTGAAAAAATTCAGATAAATTCCGTTCTACTTCCTCTCTTCCTGGAAACCTCCAGGTGCTAAAATGGAAATGGGCAGTTGCCTAGATGGGAGGAAAGAGTATTGTTTGTTTGACACTATTACAGATGCACTTGTCACACACTAAAAAACTGAGACACAACCAACCAAAGCAACAGAAATCTTCAGAAGTAAGGTAATTATGGGCAATTAAAATAAGTTTTTGTGATCCTAGCATTGGAAATTTGACTGTAAATTCAACACCTTTGAGTGTAAATAAAATTAGAAGTCCATCTATGTCCCCAAATCAACATGCACAATATACAGTGCTGCTGCTGAGCCAGACTTGAAGGGGCATGTTGCAATTCTCCTTTGTTAGGGGTTAAGTGGGGTTTTGGAACACAATTGGTGTCTGAAGACAAGAATGATGTGGCAGAAGCAATTTCTTTCCCACCATATCTACTGCCAAATTCTCATATGTTTTCTTGTATCCCCTGTAAAGTTAGATTTTGTTTTCAAAAGTGTCCTAAGTAAAGATTATTCTTCTTTCTACCATGGTCCCTAGGGGAAAGCAGGTAGTGTGGTGGTTTGTAGTATGGTGGGGTTTGTCCTTCAGGGGTGTTGGTGGTGCTGAAGAGCTGTGCTCTTCATCAGGAGATGCCAGTTGGTCATGCTGGAAGGAAAGCAGAGCATCTCTTACAGCCATCAATGCCACTCCCCTTAAACACTGGTGTTATATGGTTGAGTAGTTGCCCTCCTCTATTTAAACAAGACTGTTGATGGATGCAGTGGGAATATATAATTTTTCCAGGTGCACTGCCAGATCCATGGCTTTGTATGTCACCTGTGAGCTACTGAGTTGAGAATTAGGTGCTTGGTACTGAGATGAATTGCTGTGGTGATCAGGTGAAGAGGTTACATGCTCCTGCCCTTTTATTCCATCCCAAAGCTTTAGTTTCACTTCATGATGCAAATGATTTATAAATTTGAGGGGAGAGAGTATATATTGCAAAGAACAGTTTTCAAGAAGCTCTTCTTGTTACATTTGAAATTCATGTTAATGCTATGGGGTGAAATGTCTGAACTGTATTAGTTCCAGTGCCTTCAAAGTTTCATAGTGTGAAAGAATGGAGAAATGTTGAGTACTGCAAGTTTTAACATTTATTACATAGATTAAACAAATAACTGGGTTAATTCAGTATTTGTAGAGAAAAGAACTGAAAATGCATGTACTCAGTTTCTCTTGTCTACAAGTAAACCGTTCTTAAACATTTTCTGAATTGTTTACCTTTTCCATTAGGATTTTATTTCCATCAGAAAAAAAAGTCAGAGGTTCATTGTAGGAAATAAGTATCTTAAGTTATAAAATGTTAAATCTGTGTCTAAATCTGTCATGTTGCAACAGCTTATAGTTGTGAAGAATAAGCTTTAGCTTTTTGTTTGGCTTTTTTTAATACTTGAGTGGCTGCTTATAGTTCTAAAGAAACAGGATTTCCCAAGATTTTATTTTAAATTGTCTTGTATCACCTTGTATGCAGACCACATACAAATCTGATCAGCTAAAATTAACTTGTCTTATCAAGAGGAGAAAATTACAGAATGTCCTGGTACTACATGCAGTAAAATGAAACACAGTTGTCACGTGAGGCCAACTGAGGTCCTGAAAATAAAGGAAATTGCCAAGGGAAGAGGGAGCTGGCAAAAATGAAGCAGATTTTTGCTCTAAAATTGGAAATGTTCTTTCTTACATGCATCCACAAGTGGCACAAGGATGTAACAACAGACTAGCCTTTTAGATGGTCATGTTCTTATGCTAATTTTGACTATTTCTATAACTATTTTACTTTTTTTTGCTAGTGAAATTCTTGTTTGATTAAGAAAATATAAATTAAGACTATGATGGCTGCAGTACAGATGTACCACCTGTCATTGCTAGAAGTGTACACAGTAAAATTATTTTGCACTTAGAGAAAGTTAAAATGTATTTTCTCTTTTGAAAAGTGCAGATGGTTTCACTGGGCCAAGTGTTTGGTGCTAATGGGGGAAAAAAATGCCATGTTTGTCATTGGTCACAGCCAGCAGAGCTTCATGAGGGAGAAGTCCTGCTTGTAAACCCTTTTGTGACAGAGTAGCCCACTCAGCTGATCTAGGAAAGCCAGTAGATGTGATCTTTTTGGACTTGAAAAGCAAAACTTTTGGTACTGTCTCTCACAGTACCTTCCAGACCAAATGTCCAGCACACAGCTGGAAACAATACTGAATGATGGGTGAGCAACAGGCTCACAGGTCAGGCACAAAGGGTTACAGTGAATGGGGTGACATCAGGCTGGGGTCTGGGCACTGGTGGGGTTCTGCAGGGCCCCATTCTTGGCCCTGTTCTCTTCAACATCTTCATTAACCACTGGGATGCAGGACTCAAAGGGACACTAAGTACTAAGTGCCAAAGATACTAAACTGGCAGAAGCTGTTGACTCCCTCCAGAGCAGAGAGGCCCTACAGAGAGACCTTGACAAACAGAGTTTGACTGGGCAATCACCAACTGCTTGAAGTTTAACAAGGGCAGGTGCTGGATTCTGCACCTGGGACGGGGCAATCCTGATTGTGTGTACAGACTGGGGAATGAGATCCTGGAAAGCAGGGCTGCTGAAAGAGATCTGGGGGTCCTGGTCACTGGCAAATTGAACATGAGTCAGCAGGGCTTTTTTTATTTCTTTAGCAAGTGCCCCATGGAGTGGAAAGGAATGGGAAGGGACAGCTGAGTGTCAGTTACTTCACCAGTTAATGTGAAAGTAGGAGAGAAGATTTCACCTTGCTTTGAAATGAGAGAATGTGGAAATTGGCCAGTCTTGAGATGGGGATATATATATTTGTTTTGAATTATATGGAGTGTATATTGTGTACAAGGAGACCACTCAGTGAAGAGTGTTGACTTAATTCAAATTAAGTCTGTAAAGGAGTAACCTTGGATTAATAGGGTGTTATTTTTGTTAAGTGCCCTGCTGAATAAAAACCTTAATAAATAAACACAGATCTCCAACACTTCAAAAAGATTGAAAATTACTTTTCAAAACACAACAGACTCACTAATGCTCTTTTGATGTTGCTTTCTGTTAGCCTCATTAGAGATGGGAGATAGGAACCAGCCTGGAAGTCACAGATCAGGCTCAGCATTACGTTTTGGTGATAGCTGTCACAAAGCTCTTCAGTCTTGCTGTTAAAGTTTGTGGGAAGGGCAACTACCAGAACCTGAGCTTTTCTACAGGATGCTGAGCTTCCTTATAGCCATCAAAGCTGTCTTTCATGTGGATATTGTTGGATATGGACAGTAAAGGCAATGTGTTGTTTTAAATACCGTATTTCAACAAGCTCAGATTTACTATGGAAATAGGACATGAATTGCTGCTTTTAAATCTGTCTGCCTTCAGGGAATTAAAGGAACAAAATAGTTGTACTGGAAGTTTTGTGATTAAAAATAAAAAGGTTGAGGGCAGTGGAGATTGTATTTGAGCAGCTTGACTTCTCCAAACAGCCTTTGCATTAACAGTTTGCCAAATGTGTTCAATTTGCTCATATCAAAACATTTTGGGGGCAAGTTTGAAGTGGTGGTCAGGAAAGTATACATCCTAAACTAGTTTTTATTATTTCAATAAAATAGTTTGTCGGTTCCCCTGATTACAGAATTGATACATTAGTAATCAAAATGTATTTGCCAATTTTATACCCATATCCCCCAGATGTTGGCTTACCTCTTGCTGCACAGCCAGGAGCGACTCTGACTCTGTATAGTTCTCAGTATCTCACAGTACATGCACAAGTGCACATGTGCACCTGTGCACATGCACAGGTGTGTGGGCACCTGTACGGTTTTGGAAGGAATGAGTAGTTTCCAAATGCTGTTGTCAGCAAATCTGTTAGCTTGTGTGACAGAAATTACCTTTTCCTTTATGTGTTTGAGCTAAAAAGGGGGTTGATCCTTCTGGGTTGCAGTGGTGTTTTAACTCCTTTGTTTCTACCTTTTTAAAAGAAACAAACCATAAAGTATCGACTGTTGTTCTGGCCATACAAAGTCTTTTTGTCCATGGCATGTCCTTGAACTGTGCTTTCTAACTTCACAAGCTATGAAACAGTATAGAAACAACATTTCCGATGACCAGCTGAGAACCTCTCATAAATGCATTCTTAGTTATATCTTATGTTCTGCAACCAAGCAGATGCAAATTGCTTTATGATGTTTTCTCGTTTTTTTAAACCACATTTGGAATGGGAATGGAAGTATGATGATTAATAAATATTGGAACTTAGCACAGAGAGCTACTAAGGAAAGTCAAGAGTTTTACTTTTCATGGACCTTTGTGATAACTGGTATCCTAATACAGACATGGTCAGGAAATTAGTAATGAAATTGTGAGCATCAGTGGGACCCTCCTGGTAGTCATATCAGGCCTGAAACAGGAGTGATGTCTTGCTGTTTGCAGTAGCCACGGAACAAGAAACTTGCTTCTTTCCTTCTTGCTACAGGGTGCTCCTGCCATAACAGTAGTGGGCTTGCAGAGGAGTAGGAACTGATTGACTGGACACAACCATAGCCCTGTTCAGGAAAAAAGGGGGAAATTAGGCTGTAAGCCAATAATAGCTGCTCTCTTCTGCAGGTACTTTAAGGCTTTTTTGCACTGTTTGAACAAATAAAATGTATTTCTCTGACTGGCATCTGTGGAGGGAATGAAGTAGGAGAACACTCTTGTTGAACAGTTTTCTTTCAGCAGAACAAGTTATTGAGCTACTAATTAGCTAGTGTATTGCTTAAGTCCCACCACAGTTCAGATGCGGACTCATGCATGCAAGGCTTTTAAACAAGCAATCTGAAAATGCATTTTACTGTTGCATTTTTAAGCCTAGCTGAGCTGGCATTTACCAGTTCCAGCATGGCTTGAGTAGGTCACCCAGCCAAGCTGAATTACAGCTGCATCTGAGAATGGTTCCCTGGTAAGAAGAGAAACTGGGTGGGCAGTTTGTTGGAATCTGTAGAACTGATTGACCACAAATGTTGTGGTGTGGTAATGCTTCAGTGCTCAAGTATGGGGGGAAAATGTGGACGAGCACAGTGTTATCAGCAGAATAGGTTATCCTGTATGAAGTTTTGTGCTTGATTGTGCTGCTCTTGGAACCAAAGCTTCCAGTGCATTTCTGTATTAGTTGTCTCTCTGTCTTAAAGTCCTCGTGGAAACCAGGATTAAACAAGGTTGTTAAGCTTGCCTGGAACTTCACTGGATCCCAATGTTTTCTAAACATTTTTGTTTGTTTTCCTTCTTAATATAGCAGGGTTCATAGCTTGTTAATGTGGGTTCAGAGCTTGTTAAGTCTGGGTTCTTTTTTTCAAGGATTTGGGGATTTTCTTCTTCCTCTGAGTTTCTTTCCTCTTTGCCTGACACCAGCCATAGAGATGTATCAATGTAAACTGCAAAACTTCTATAGGTTATTTTGGCTAAAATGGGGCTTTTGTATTTTAGAGTTCATTCTGTGATTTGCTACTTAGATGTTTAGCCATTGCATCTGATAATTCTTGTGATAATTATAATTTTGCAAAGGATATAGCTGTTCATTAAAAATTCAGCTGAAACTGCTAACTACTTTTTATGGAATGTGTTGAATTGTCTGTAGATGAAATTGCTTGATAACTGGTAACTGAAGAGAGATTTTTTTTTTTTTTTTTTAACAACTCACCTGAAATCCTGCTTAGCCTTTTCAGCTCCTTCTTAGTTTCCACAGGTGTGTCTTCCCAATTTCACATTTACAATGTGAGCTTTACCAAGCTATTTGCCTTTTTTAACTAAGCCAAAAAATTTTCTTCATGTGCACAAATAGTCATAAGGTGGTTGTATGCTATCTCTGGTGATTCCCGAACCAGTTTAACTCAAGGACACATTTCACCTTAGTAGAAATCTTCATTAATATATTTGATAGTACCTGTGGAGAAACTTAACACTGCAACAAAGGAATGAAGTAGGTCTTTATGCAAATAACTTCTTTGAAGCCAAAGAAAAATCCTCAAACACTCCCACAGTAGCCCAAAGCTTTTTGTAATAGCCCAAAAAACAGCTTCCAACACATACATTGTCTTGTTCTTAAAAGTGAGAAATTATGTCTTCTGGCTTTGAATCCAAGGGTAGGAATTGCTTTAGTGTTACCTTAAGTGTATTTGTGCTAGATGCCACTCCTCTGCTCCTCACCTTGGGAATGCTAAATTAATTTCATCTTGGAGAGTGTTCAGACCACTGAAACTGCACACTTGACCCAGCTTGTGAAATGAATCATAGGGTCAAGTATGGGTAAAAGAATATTTTTGTGATCACTCTTTGCCAACAGACAAACAAATCTGTGAGGGAAAAGAAAACCCAACCTGTTATAACTAGTGGTTACACTGGTTTGTTTTGAATTTGCAATTGTCTCTGGTGTCTAATAGGATCTGTCCATAAGAGCAAGGGAAAGTTAGGAACCTTTTTTTACACTCCTCTTACTGGAGACAGGACTGAAAATGTGAACATTTTGGACACCCAGATACCGAAAATATTTTGTTGTGTGTATTGGCCCTAGGTGTGTGTTTTGTTGGGAGTAACTCTGTTGGAAAACTCAAAATTAGAAGAGCTAATCTACAAAATATAAATTTACTGTATGATTCTGTCTCTAAGGGTGAAAGCATACATACATATATCTACATATACATCTGTCCTGTGGCTTGTCACTTGGCAAAACCAAACACTGATTCCTGGCAAAACTGAGCATTCCTTTATTCTCTGCAGGGGCGGGCTAGCTGAGAGGTTATGTCGGCTCCAGAACAGAGAAAGATCTGCCATTAGCTTTTGGAGGCATCAGTGTATTTCAGATAATAAAATCCCCTCAGGTAAGAAGCATTACACAATACCACTGTGAAAATATTATACCTACATGTATATCCATGTCATATATATATATATATATCATTATACATCCATGGCCTATGTAGAGGTACAAGTGAAGTTTATATTATTAGCTGGTCTTTCCTGACTTGGGTTTCATGTTATTGTGATTGTCTTCTGAATTAATAATTGCATTTCTGGTAAATATGAAGGTTTCTAACAACTCAGTCATCATTTGAATGTATAAGGTAAAGGATATATTTTAAGTAGCCTCCATCTAAGTTCTTCACAGCTCCTTGATTTCCAGCATCACATGGAAAAATGGTGTTTTCAGCAGGTTGTAGGACAATTCAAGTTTTAATTTATAGGTGTTCAGATTTTTTTGGTGCGGGTTTTTTTTCTTTCTTTCTTTATAATCAACCTTTCCTCTTGTTCTTTTTGCTTTGTGATCACTTCTTGCTAACAAACAAACATGGACAAAAATTCATACATAAGTGCTGAAATTGTGAATGGCACCATGTGTGAATCAATAGAGCACAGCTATGAAATGAGTGTAAAGCATAACTACAGTGTGTACATCACTTAAAAAGAAAAGTGGGAGTCATACAAATTGGTTACTGGTGACTGATAGCACCACCTTTCAGTAGTCTTTCCTGAGAGGTAATGGATTCATAGAGATTAAGTATAAAGAATTAACTTTTTTAATCAGCTTCTGTGTGTGTGACTATAGTCTACAAAATGTCAAGCATTTATTTTGTATTAAGCCAACTGCTTGTTTTTGAGCATATATTAACTTGCATTTATTTTTCAGAAAGACCTCTGATCTTAATTTGAAAACACGCAGATAAGTGAAACTATCATTTGCCTTGAGAGTTTGTCCCCAGTTCTACTCCCAAATTCTTAAAGATGGTTTTTCTTCCAAATCTGAATTTGTCTGGCTTCAGTTCCCCTCTTTTGTTTCTTGCTTCTCCCTCAAAGAGGTCTTTAGTATGTGACATTTTCCCTTTCTGGCACTTGCATAGCAAAACCTCTGCTGCCTCACAGTTTTCATAAACTAAACAGACTGAGCCCTTTAAGGGTCTCTAAAGCATTTTCATCCATGTTCAAGTGACTTTCATGGCTTTTTACTGTACAGTCTCAAACTTTTCAGAAGGGTCTTAAGAACAAGCATAGCAATTCTATGTGCTCTTCCAGTTTTAGTCTTATTGAAATCATTGGCCAGGTCCAGTTCACTTCTCAGCCTCCTGGATATTCGAGGCCTGTGCTAAGTGTTTGAGTCTGGTTTGGCTTTGGTCACAGCACAGTGCAAGGACTTCACCTTGAACTGATTATCCAGTATGATTTTGTAACTTCTACAGGTATTTTTTTCTGAGATGCTGTTTCCCACTCTCCAGCTACTCTTCCTGTTTCTTTTGCCTATACACAAATACTGGGAAGTATTTGTGCTGTGTCCTGGCTGATTTTACTTAAGTAGTCCAGCTAACCATGCAGTTCAGATCACCGTGTAGCTCAAGCCTGTCCTCTTTTAGTCACAGATTTGCTTGAGTTTGTGGTATTCACAGAGTTTCCTTATGTCATTGATGAAACCATTTAATAACATGAGTGTTTACTTGCAAGTCCTGCTGGAACTGTTGTTACTCAGTTATAATTCTCCACTGGTAAAAAGCTCTAACTACAATTCACCAAGTTATTTTTTTCATTCTGCTCAAAGTCTGCAGTACTCATAGTGAGAATGGTTGATTTTTCCTAAGGAGGTTGTATGATTTAAAGTTACACCCAAACCGTTGGCTAAAGCTTGGTCTCAGTTTCTCACTGGATCTTTAGAGGGCTTTACCTCCTTTGGCTATTTGCATGTTGTGTTCTCAAAATGCCACCCATGCAGAATAGCACATTGTATTTCTGACCTTAATTTCTTACTTATTTTTTTCTAGGCTACTTTGCCTAGATCTGATGTCAGGCTAGTTGGTCTCCAGTTATTGTAAGCCACTTTGTTTGCCCTTCCTGAATAGTAGCACAATATCCTCATCCTTTCAGTCTTCTGGAATTTCACCAGTATCTGAATACACTCTAGAAAGTGACATCAGGGAACCAGATATGTCTTTAGCCAGCTCTTTTCAGAAGTGCTATGTTGAAAATTGTACAGGCATGCTTACTTAAAACCATGGGAGGTTACTTCATCATTCTTATGTGGTGCGAGGATATCCTCTTGCTGTTTCTCAAATATGGAACAAAAATAGATATTGAATAGGCTTGCCTTTTAAATAAAAGGAAAATTTTTAATGCACTCTGTAGTAACAGACCTGCAACATTGCTAATATGCTAATATTCTTTTTGTCTTAGTTTCACATGTGTCATTACAAAACTTTGTGTTTGGCTGTTCACCATTTTGTTAGACCAACATCTAGGCTGAAATATTCCATGCTAAACATCTGCCCCTGGCTGAATTCCTTTCTTTGATTCTTCTTTCTTTCAGAAAATGAGTCAGAATTGGTTAGCATTTTATGAGAAAAAGGCTATGGGAAAATACCTTGCTCTATTCTTAAGTACATTTAAAACATTCTGGTGAGTGTCTTTAAAATTATTTAGTTTTGGCAGAAGATGAACTATTTCTGGGATATGCCTTTTCCATCATAACAAAAAATGTACAAGAAGTCTTTAGGACAAGCTACTGTTTCATTTACCCTGCAAGCATTTGCTGCAATTTCTGAAAAATGCTGAACATGCCATAAGTTTAGGAATATACTTCAACTTCACAGCTTGAGTTTCACTTCCAATTCTCAATCCTTATTCCAAAGTATAACAATTATAAAATAATCATTAAAATAGCTGTGACAATATTTTGGGGATACTTTTACCATCTAGAGCAAAATTTATTTTTGATAATTATATTTTTAGAACAGCCATAATGTTTTGTGTCACCAAAATGAAATTGGTGTTTGGTTTGGAGCACATCGGTTGGAACAGTTGAAATTTTAGTAATGTAACTAGATAACCTTCTCTTTGCTTCTAGTCAGGAATGTGAAGTGTCAGCATAGCAAATGCGTGCCACTTTCAGCTTTCATCTATTTAGGTTAAAGTTAAGGTGATCTTACTAATCTAAGAATATTCTTGAATTTTGTTTCTCCTGTTTTGCTCAGTAATATTTCTAAGCCACACCATTTCTCAGACTGTTTCTGACTTCGGCACGGAATTAGAGGAAAGAACTTTTCAAATAACAAACTCATTTTAGTCACTGAAGAATCCTGAAGATTAATGTGGAGGATTGAAGTAAGTTAGCTGCCGGGAGAGCTGTCACGTCATTTTGGATATCCCATAGACATGCAGACCAGAAGTTCATTGCTAAAGCAGCGGGAAGCAATTTCAAATGAGATTGGTTTAAAGTCCTCCTTACATATGATATTTAAGGAAAAATGTTTCCAGAAGTTCCAGCTGTCACCCCATTAGGCATTTCATATTGAAGAATTTTATGCCTCTATTTTGCTGTTGCTTACTTTTTAGGTTGTACCCACGTCCATATTACTCAAAACACCCTAGTTTTCGGCTTTGTTTTTTAAAAGAATTCCTGTCTGTTACCTCCCTGACCCCATTCTGTAAGTAACCACTGTGGTTTGGCTGCCTCTTGGTCACTGGGATGAATCACTGCCCAGAAGAGAGCACCTCCTTTCAGCACGCACTTTCTGGTGTTTATGCAGCGCACAGGGTCTTGCTTCGGCTGACTCATTCTGCAGGGTAGAAAAAAACCTTTGTGCTTTCTCAGATTTTGACAAATTTGGGGCAGAGTCACAGTCTACTGCCAGTCCCTGTGTTGGGACAGGCACTCACTAAGGTTATGGGTTCCAGCAAGGTGAATCCCACTTCTGTAAATCAAGGTAACGATACCAGGCAGAGGCCTGAAGGGAGGGAATACACAGCATTGGTTGGATGCTTCCTGTGGTTCAGCTCTAACAGAGGCGAATGTCAGGCTCTGCCACAAATCCATAATTTTCTGTTCTTCACAAGATGTAAAAGGGGGGCTGAGGTGCAGGCCATGTAGCAGCAAGTCTCTGATCAGCCAAGCTGATGGTTTGAGGGTACTCTGTGCAAGGGCTTGTAGACCATTTGCAGGCTTTTTCCTGTATGCAGTGCTGCAACTTCCCCATGAAGTTTCCTGTTTGGGCAAAGAGGAGATCTGGACAGCTGAAAGAGAGAAAGAGAGAAAAAAAAAATAAAAACCAAACCCACAACAAAAACCCAAACCTTTTTCCTGTCAACATCTGCTGGAAGAAAAAATAGTGGTTTTCTGAGTTAGCATTCAGACAACCTTCCTGTCTATAGGAGGGGACATTAAAAATGTTTAAAGCAAACTCATGTGGATTCCTACTGTAACTATTGAAATTTTGCTTTCTATACATCCTGCCTTCTGTTGGTTTTGTTTGTCTTGCAGCTATCATCAAAACAGTTCTTTACCTTAAATGCAGAAACATTTTATTCTCTACCATTTGTAATCTGATGCAAGATTTGATCCATGTTGATCCAAGGTTAAGATTCATGATTGTGTTAAAACTGAATTTGAGTAGTGAATTGACAATAAAGCAAAACCATTGATCTTTCCTTCCAAACTGCTCCTTCCTCTCAGGGAAAAGTGACCTTCAAGGGGCAACATCTTCAGATTGCTGAGGCGAGTGGAACATACACTTGAGGGGAGGAGGGTGAAGCCCTGGAGGTGAGAACAGGGTTTCACATGTAACACGTTTGCAGGAAGGCTAAAAGGCTTACAGAAGAGAATAGATACAATCAATCACTCCCTCTCTTCCCATTTCAGTGACTAGTTAAAATGGTGGGAAGAAAGGATTTTAGGAGTTTGAATGCCATGAAACTTTTACGTGATAAAGAAAACATGGGTAGCCCTTAACAGGATTTCCCTTACTATGTAAAATTCTTCTAAAAAGACAGAAATCTGAGATTTGCTAGTTGTTGTTTATTTTCTTAGTTCTTGATAGTTTGTTTTATTGCTTAAGAGTTAGTA